GAGTGGACTGAAAACACAGAGGGAACACGGTGTAAACGAAGCATCTGCAGCCTTCAGACTCTGACATGATGGAGCTCTATCTCGACCTGCACTCCCAGCCCTGCCGCTCCGTCTTCCTGTTTGCCAAGGTGGTCGGGATTCCCTTTGAGTTTAAGGATGTCAACCTCGCTGCAGGTAATCCCACACCGCCGGACAGACACAGGGACAGGGTGGAACCTTTCTAAATTCATACGTAGCTGATGTGTGCATATTTTTCGTTTTTGTTTTAGTTTTCAGGCTTTAAGCTCACATTCTGCCTCAAAATGATTGTTTATTTTGAGCTTTTCGAAATGTACAGAAAGTTACCATATGTAAAGTTGAATACCCGCAGACTTTAAACTGGTTACATAAGCCTCAGCCCCACACACACATTTTGCAGGAGTTGAGAGTTGAATGTCCCTGCAGGCTTTGAACTTGTTCTGTAAGCATGAACATTAAAAAAAACCTCCTGTGGGCTATCAGTTTACATTTACATTTCACCCAGTGAGGCGAGGAGTAGAGTTGCGTTAACTCCCAGATAACAAGAGTGGGTGGGATGTCACTGGTCAGAGGTCAAAGCATCCAGACAAAACATTCCTGCGTCCCTGAGGTGATTGAGTATAACAGAGACGTGCTGGAAAATGAAAATAGGAAAGAGAAGCGTTTCAAGGAAGATAATAAGGAAAAGGGGGGGACAATTACAAAAAACTCCATACTTTATGTGTTGTTTCCACAACCACATTGTTATTATTCATCTCTTTTTCTCCAACTGACAGAGCAACTCTTTTTCCTTTTATTTTCTATGTATATGGCAACACAAACATCATTTTAACATGTCTGTGATTCTCATTTGTTTGTCTCAGGGCAGCAGTACAGCGAGGAGTTTGGAAAAATCAGCATCATGAGGAAGGTTCCTGTCATGAAGGATGGAAGTTTCATTCTGACGGAAAGGTACAACGAGCGATTTGAGTTCAGGCTTGAATTCATTACATCTATATATATTATATATTTTTAAAGTT